AAAAATGTTATTTTGTTATTATTAAAAATTGTCTTGTTATCCTACTTCATACAATAGCAGGGTTTTGTAGACTAGCATCGGTGTGACTTTAAGGGCGATGCTCAACGGGAACCCTCGGTAATCAACGACCACAACGTCCCCACACATAACGTCGTCCCTCAGCCGCATTTCTTGGATCGTGTGGAATTTTTTGACAAAGTTGATGGGGTCGTAGGACTCTGGTAGGTTTTCTCCCTTCACTTGGAAGAACGTAAGTCTGTACATTTCGTCGGTGAACTGGGGGTGTTCGACCAGGAATCTAAAAACGTATCATTAGTATGTCAATACGAACAACCATGGTGTCAGAGTACGCCGCCTCGTTGAACATCCTGTGGTAGGGCAGCTTCGGGTTTATCCCGAGGGCTATTTCGGGCAATTTTGCCCGGATGGAAAAATAGTTGTCGATCTTCTGCTTGGCTATTTCGATGCTGCACTTGTTGAGGATTACAAAATTCCGAAGAGAGTTTTTGTCTGGAGAGAAAATGAAAATTTTTGGTTAAATTGGTGCACAAAGACGTACCTAACAGTTTCGGGAGCTGCGGTTGCGTGTTCAGCCATTATTCCAAACGAAGTACGTCTTCGTCTAGGGCTTTGAGGTTGCTGTTGAACTGTCTGGCGGCCCTGTCGAACATGGGCTCTAGGTCTTGAGTGGTCATCTTGTGAAGAGATCGGTCCGTAATTCCAGACACTATTGAGTTGAGTTTTGTATGTCAGCAAAATTTATGGTAATGAGGTCGTCTCTTGTTCGGCTTTAAGTCAAGGAAGTTGAGTTTTGCAGTTGTTTGATTAGACTTTTTAATGTGTTATTTTAATATTAATTACACTGCAACGTTTGTAATCTCCGTCTTTTTTTGAGATTGTTATTTAAATTTGATACAAAACTGGTTAGTCAATTACGTAGTTCGTACTTGATTCAAATCAAAATTGTATAACTTATAATGCTTTGGCTCTTGCAAACGTTTTAAGCTTATCGTAATCAATTCTTTGATACCACCATTTTTCAAAGTTTCGGTTTCATAATTTTTCGTTTTCGCAACTTTAATTTTTTCAATTTTTCATGTTTGGGTTTTCAATTTGCAAATTTTGCAACTTTCAAATTTTTTTGCTTAGATTTTTCAATATTTTCACTTTTTAAAATCGATGAATTGAAAATCAAAAAACTGATAAATGAGAAATCGCAAAATAGAGAAAGTAGAAAATCAATCAACTGCAAATCAAACAACCAAAGAATCGAAAAATTGAAAAATCTAGAGACTGAAAAAGCTTAAATTGAAAAGACTAAAAATGTTGAAAAATTGAAAACCGGAAAATTACAATTGAAAAAATAAAAATTGTAAGATCAGGATGTTAAAGAAGCGATAAATTGTAAAAATAAAGAAAATAAAAAACCGAAACAAAAAACTGCAAATCGAGAATATGTAGAAATGAAAAAATAACGAATCGAAAAATTGAGAAGTTGGAAAATTTTAAATCGAAATCCGCAAAGTCTAAAAAATGAAGAAACAAAATTGAAGAATCGAAGAATTAAAAAATTTAATACAATTGAAGAAAAGAAGAATTGAAAAATTTTTCAGTTTTTCCACTTTACAATTTTTCAATTTTTAGATTTCGCAATTTTTCGATTCGAGTTTCTTCGAGTCTTTAGTGTTTCGATTTTGGTTTTTTCAATTTCGTTTTTCATTTTTTTGTTTCTTCATTTTTTAGATTTTGCAATTTTTTGATTTCAACTTTCTCCAGTTTTCAATTTATAATTTTTTAATCTTTCGTTTCTTCAAATTTTCACGTTCTTTATTTTCAATTTTTAGATTTTTCAATTTCGTTGTATACTTTTTCATTTTTTTATTTTTGGTTTTTCAATTTTACAATTTTGCAATTTTCCCATTTTTTTGCTTAGATTTTTCAATTTTTTCACTTTTTAAAATCGATGAATTGAAAATCAAAAAACTGATAAATGAGAAATCGCAAAATAGAGAAAGTAGAAAATCAATCAATTGCAAATCAAACAACCGATGAATCGAAAAATTGAAAAATCTAGAGACTGAAAAATCTTAAATTGAAAAGACTAAAAATGTTGAAAAATTGAAAACCGGAAAATTACAATTGAAAAAATAAAAATTGTAAGATCAGGGTATTAGAACCGATAAATTGTAAAAATAAAGAAAATAAAAAACCGAAACAAAAAACTGCAAATCGAGAAGATGTAGAAATGAAAAAATAACGAATCGAAAAATTGAGAAGTTGGAAAATTTTAAATCGAAATCTGCAAAGTCTAAAAAATGAAGAAACAAAATTGAAGAATCGAAGAATTAAAAAAAATCTAATACAATTGAAGAAAAGAAGAATTGAAAAAATTTTCAGTTTTTCCACTTTCCAATTTTTGAATTTTTCAATTTTTAGATTTCGCAATTTTTCGATTCGAGTTTCTTCGAGTTTTTAGTGTTTCGATTTTGGTTTTTTTCAATTTCGTTTTTCATTTTTTTGTTTCTTCATTTTATAGATTTTGCAATTTTTTGATTTCAACTTTCTCCAGTTTTCAATTTATAATTTTTTAATTTTTCGTTTCTTCAAATTTTCAAGTTCTTTATTTTCAATTTCGTTTTATCCTTTTCCATTTTTTTATTTTGGTTTTTCAATTTTACAATTTTGCAACTTTCCCATTTTTTGCTTAGATTTTTCAATTTTTTCACTTTTTAAAATCGATGAATTGAAAAACAAAAAACTGATAAATGAGAAATCGCAAAATAGACAAAGTAGAAAATCGATCAACTGCAAATCAAACAACCGGAGAATCGAAAAATTGAAAAATCTAGAGACTGAAAAATCTTAAATTGAAAAGACTAAAAATGAAATAACTTAAAAGTTGAAAAACTGAAAACCGAAAAATTACAACTGAAAAAATAAAAATTGTAAGATCAGGGTATTAGAACCGATAAATTGTAAAAATAAAGAAAATAAAAAACCGAAACAAAAAATTGGAAATCGACAATATGAAGAAATGAAACGAATCGAAAAATTGAAAAGTTGGAAAATTTTAAATCGAAGTCTAAAAAATGAAGAAACAAAATTGAAAAATACACGAATTGAAACGTCCAAAAGTTGTAAAATCAGAAAAGTAGACAATTAAAACAAATTTAAATATTTTAGTTTTTCCACTTTCCAATTTTTGAATTTTTCAGTTTTTAGATTTCTCAATTTTTCGATTCGAGTTTCTCGAGTTTTCAGTGTTTCGATATTATTTTTTTTTCAATTTCAACTTTCCCATTTTTTTGTTTCTCCATTTTTTGATTTTGCAAATATTTTTCTGTGCTTTAGTTTTTTATTTCTTAAAATTTTCGATTTGCAGTTTTTCTAGGTTTCATTTTAAATATGTAATAAACATAATTTTTAAAATTTTTCACCTTTTCGATTCACGTTTTTAGAATTTTTCCTTTTTTAATTTTGCATTTTTTCGATTTTTTATCATTCAATGTTACAGTTTTTCGACTTTACAATTTTGATAATTTTATAATTTTTCGATTTAGAAATCGTTTCTTCCGCATTCCAGTTCTTCCAATCATTAATTTTATAGATTTTTAACTCTCTCGATTTTTAGTTTTTTAATGTTTTGATTTTTCGTTTCTTGATTTTTTCGAGTTGCAATTTTTAGATTTTCCACCTTTTCGATTTTGACAATTTTTCGTTTTCACATTTTTCGGTTTTTCAAAAATTGGAAAATTTCCCACTGAAAAAACCGAAACAAAAATCAAATCGAAAATCTGACGAAATGAAAAATTAAAAATCGAAAACTGGTTGCTAAATATCAAAATTAAAGACAAAAATGAAAAACTGAAAAATCGCATATCCAAAAAATTGAAGAAAGATGCATTGAAAAAATAAAGAAAGTAAAAAACCGAAGCGGAAAACTGTAAATCGAAAAATGGAAAAATTAAAAATTGAAAAATTCAAAAGTTGTATAATTGAAAAACTGAGAAAGTTGAAGAATTGAAAAATTCAAGTCAACAAGCTATTTTACGCCACTGGTTTTTACTTTATAGAGATTGTTAGAAAACAAAAGTCTGAATAATTTTTTTAGCGAAGTGATCAAATTGCCTTCTTACTTTTTCTCACAATTTTATTTTTTTAACGATTTTGTCTAATCATCCCCACCACTAATGTGATGACGTCACTACAAAATTGTACATAGTACACGGGTTTTAAATTGCATGAAATAACATGGTTTTACACATGTAGTTTATGACTCCGGATTGAGATTTTACCCGAAACGTCCAGATTTTTGGAAAAAAAATCAAAATTAGGAAACATTTTGATATTTAATTTGAAATCTGCAAAACTGAATGCTTTGAAATCTTGCAGATGATTTACAGTTATGATAAGCGTGATAAAATCTTAATCACAATATATTTAATTATCCCCTCTAAAAAATTGATGACGTCACGTGAAAAGTTTGCGTAATAAATCCTATCTAAAATATAGAAAAAATGATGAGTCTGTACTTGTCATTTCATTCAGGGGGTGTTCGTCTTTAAAAAAAGTTGTAAAATAGTGTTTAATGTAACGAAAAACTTACCCAACAATTTTGGAAAGTGTGGTTGTGTTTCGAGCCATTCTTGCAAAGGAAGCACATCTTCATTCAACGCTATTTCACTACTGTTAAATATTTTTGCAACCGTGTCAAAGATATCGTCGACGTGTGAGTTATGATGTTGTTTAACCACAAATATATATGTATTTTATAATTCATTATACGTAAAAGTTCGTTGACATATAAATATAGTAATTAACTGTACTTTATTTTTAAATGGACGACCCTTTTTTAGGTGTCAAGGTTTCTCTTACTGTATGTTACGTGTTATTAATAAACTGGTTGTGAAATCCCGCTGCTATTAAAATTTAGAATTGGGTCATGGAGTTACGCTGTACGTTGATCGAGACATTAATTCAGTTTGTAAGGTAAATATTTATTAATACAAACAACATTGTTTTTGAATCGGATGCTTCAGTCGATTTCAAGTTTAGTAAAGCTGCCGTAGAAACCTAGAGTATTGTCATCTTTCAGTTTCTGAGGTCTCAGTTTCTCATCTATTTTAATTTCGTCCAAGCGATCAAACAGTTCTTGATTTTGTGAGTATTTTGCCTCCAGTGCATCTACAAACTTTGTATTTATTTACGATTTATTCTTTCAAAACTTACCGTCTAGTTGTTGCAAAGATAGTCCTTCGCCGCCGTAGTCAGTAGGCAGCAAATTCAAAGGAATGACTTTCTTCAAACAATCTTCCTCTGGATGAATATGAATCTTTAAAATGTAACAAAGTAAACTTTATAACGTTGTTTCTAGTGTTTGTACTTACCCTTTGAAATAGTTTCGGTTTTATGAAGCTTTTTCCAATATTTAATATTTTAGTTAACGGTGGCGCCATATTTACCAAGTGTACAGCTTTGATACGAGAAGACATAACTCCCTAAAATTGGAATAGCAATTTTTTGAAATCGCTACATAGGTTTTTTACGTCTTACATCGTAAAGAACAACGGCAACTTTGTAAAACATCATAGGTGTGATTCTCAGAGCGACATTTAAAGTGAATCCTTTGCAATCTACGACAAAAATGTCTCCATACATGACGTCATGTCGCAATTTTAACTCCGCCATAGTAGTTATTTTTCTCATAAAATTAACCGGTTTATAGTTGGGTGATACAGTTTCTCCTTTTGCTTTGAAAAATGTGAGTTTGTACATGTCGTCTGTTAATTGGGGGTGATCAACTAAGTATCTACAATTAATAAGTTTACCTTTTTGTGTATATGGGTAATAATTCATAGTTTAATAACTTACACCATACTATTAAATTCCTTATGATAAGGCAGCTTCGGATTCATTTCGTTGGCCACTTCTGGCACTTTTGCCCTAGCCGAATAATAATTGTCGATTTTTTGTTTAGCAATTTCGATACTGCACTTGTTCAGAATCAAAAAATTCCGAAGGGCGTGTCCATCTTAAAAAAAAGTCAAAAACATTGCTAAATTTGTTTAAAAACATACCCAACATGTTTGGAAGGTGGGGTTGCGTTTCGAGCCATTCTTGCAGCCGAAGCACGTCTTCACTTAACTTTTTTCCACTACTGTTAAATATTTTTGCCGCTTTGTCAAACAGGCGATCTGCGTCTCGATTCAACATTCTTAAGACTGGGTTGCGATGTTGCCTAACAGGAAATATAAGGTTTCTGTTTTTTTAAATGTTTTTTAGATCGCCTTTTTAATATACCTATTTCACAAAAAAACTGCCAATAATTTTGTTTTGATTATGAGACGGAACTTTTTATGCGAAGTATCAAGGTTCCACGCGTGCACGTGTTGTATGCAAAATTTTTGTGTGGGGTCAATGAGTCGAACAAGAATGTGAAGATCGGGTTCATTTTCGGGAAAAAATCGCAAGAAAGTCACTAGAAACGGCAAAACAAAGATTTTATAAGGAAAAAAGTATACAAGTTTTTCGTGGAAGTTCCAGAAAAGGAAGTGACAACATAATATATATGTTTAAAATATGTTAGACAAGCAATTTAAAATCAACTGTAGCGAAAATTTTATCAACAGGGGACCAAAATTTAAAAACATCACTACCTGGCAAGCGACAACCAACGGATTTATTTACAAATTATATGTTTCGGAAAGACCTGCAACGACAAATTTCGCAACTTAATGAAAAAAACGAATATTTCACTGTAGATACTCTTTTGGCATATTCTAGGGAACAGTTTGAATTTAAAGGGGGGCGAACCACATTATTTAATAATTTAATAATAATTTATTGTCTGTAAGGGCTGCGTACAATTGCAATCATTAGACTTGTCAAATTTATTAAATAATAATATAAAAATACAAAAAACAGAGATGCACATATAAACGTACTAACATACATATAAACACCTACATAGTAAGGAATTCATTCTTTGAGTAGACAGCTTTTTCCGTTAACAAAACTTTCACGGATTTAATAATTTTTTTGTCATTATTGATTACTTTAATATTTTCTGGCAGATGATTGTACAGTCTCACCACTACCTCTCGAGGACCTTGTTGTACTAATGTAAGATTACATTTTTTATTATATAATTTATGGCTCATTCTTGTTTGGTACTTATTTATATCACCATTAGTCTTGAACATATGTAGATTTCGTTTTACATATCCAATGCATTCCAAAACATATATGCTGGGTATTGTTAATATTTTATGTTTTATAAAAAGTTGACGACATAAACCTCTTTGTGGTAGATTAAAAATCAATCTAAGAATTTTTTTTGCATAATAAAAATTCTATTTACAAATACTGAGTTGCCCCAGCACATAATTCCGTACGAAAGGTAAGGGTTTATACATCCATGATAATATTTCATAAGTGTTGACACATTTACGTTTTCTTTTAACTGCCTTATACAGAAGCACAGGCTAGTCAGTTTTTTAACTACTATATCGATATGAGGTTCCCAAGTTAAATGTTCATCCACAGTCACACCTAAAAAATTTACAACATTATTATGTTTTACTGAAGCTGTAGTGGATTTAATTAATACGCTAAAGTGTTTTTGCCTAGGATAAGCCGAAAACTGCAAATATGATGTTTTGTCTTTATTCAGAGATAAAAAGTTTTTAGAGCAATACGATTCCATACTTAAAACACATTTACTTCCATGAACACTTAAGGATGCTATATCATTAGATGTAACAATTGCAGATGAATCATTTGCAAATAGTCGTAATGAATAGTTCTTTTGGGAATGTATACAATCATTAATAAAGATTATAAAAAGGACCGGGCCCAATATGCTGCCCTGAGGTACGCCGGTGCTAATGGCTTTTTTATCTGATAAATAGGTCTCTGATTGTAAGTAACTTTTACCACCTGTTGTCGTCCTGTTAAATAATTTTTTACCCATTGTAAAGCTACACCTCTGATTCCGTATGCTTCCAGTTTATCACATATGAGGTTATGATTCAAAGTATCAAATGCACGGCTTAGGTCAAAATATATCCCTACTACTTTCTTTCTATCATCTAAAGAATCAAATATCTCCATTAACTTTGACACAATAGCATCTTGTGTTCTTCCTCCTTTTTTAAAACTAAATTGTTTGTCACTTAGAATATTGTGTCTTTCTATGAAGGAATATAATCTACGATAAAAGGCCTTTTCAAAAATTTTTGAAAAAATTGACAACAATGCAACAGCTCTGTAATTATTCATTTTTGATGTATTACCTTTTTTATGTATAGGTACAATTATTGCTGTTTTGAGCTCATCTGGGAAAATTCCCGTACTAAATGAAGTATTTATTAAATTTGTTAACACAGCTATTGTGGTTTGAGGAGCATATTTTAATAAATAATACGGTATCCCATCTAGTCCTTTCGATTTTTTATTAGCCACAGATGAAATAATGTAATATACCTCTGGTATTACTACAGGATCTAAAAACATTGAGTAGAAATTAAGTTAGTACTTGCTAAGATAAGAGTGACTTTGGCAAATGAGAGATCCTCTAAGAAAACAGGGAGCGGGTGCGCGGGGTTTAGTACCTGTTAAAATAAGACCGACTTTGACAAATGACATATCCTATAAGAAATTTCACTAAATTATTATAGGAAAGGACACTAGAGGCTCTAAAGCACTTTCAAATTCTTTCCAAACAGGAACACCTAGAATCTCAAGATTTTACGGTAGTCTTAAAAAGCTTACAAGTTTTCAGAGCATTCGGTTTTACAATTTCAAAGTTAAATTGTAACATATTGCTATACAAGATTGATTTTTTTCAAAAATCTGGTTGCTAAAGATAAAAACTCAACACGGATTCATAAATCACGACATATAGGAATATGTTAATTTATAAATTTAATAAAGTTAGTCGTTAGAATGAGAAGAGAGGGGATGTGCGGGGATAGTACTTAATAAGATAAGACTGTTTTTGACAAAGGACATATCTTCCAAAAAAATAAGGGCGGGTGGGCGGGGCTAGCATTTTATAAGAAATGACTGATTTTGAAGTTTTCAACCTTTTTTTCAACAATTTTCGAAAATCAGTTTGCCATTTTTTTGTAGATTTACACATCCAAATATCATTTTCGGCTTCGTTTCTTCAAACATTTCTGTCGTTTTTCCAAAATCGTCAACTGAAATATAGGATTTTTTATAGTTCCAGTAGGAAATAGTAAAACAAAAAATTTAGGATTAGCGATTTTTTTTACCTCTTGCACACCCTAGATTCTATTCGTTTCCATTCTCACTCCATAGAAAGACATAATTAGCCCCGCCCACCCACCCTGTCTTTATTTCAGTGATTAATTTTATCCGGTCTGTATGTAAAGAATGATCTTATTCTGAGCAGAAATAAAATTGATCTTTAGAACGACAAGACTAAGGGTGGGCGGGGCTAGTACTTAATAAGATAAGACTGTTTTTGGCAGATGGCGTATCTTCCAAGAAAATAAGGGCGGGTGGGCGGGGCTAGCTTTTTATAAAATATGACTGATTTTGACATTTTCAACCATTTTTCAACCATTTTCGAAAATTAGCTTGCCATTTTCTTGTAGATTTACACATCCCGATATCAATTTCGGCTTCGTTTCTTCGAACATTTCTATCCTTTTAACAAAATCGTCAACTGAAATATAGAACTTTTTATAGTTCCAGTAGCAAATACTGAAACAAAAAATTTAGGACGAGCGGATTTTTTTTACTTTTTGCACCTCCTAGATTCTATTAGTTTCCATTCCCACTCCATTGAAGGATATAATTAGCCCCGCCCACCCACCCTGGCTTCATTTCAGTGATTAATTTCATTCGGTTTGAATATAATGAATGATCTTATTCTGCGCAGAAATAAAATTAGTCTTTAGAATGATAAGACTCGGGGTGGGCGGGACTAGTACTTAATAAGATAAGACTGTTTTTGGCAGATGGCATATCTTCCAAGAAAATAAGGGCGGGTGGGCGGGGCAAGCATTGTATAAATAATGACTGATTTTGACATTTTCAACCTTTTTTCAACCATTTTCGAAAATTAGTTTGCCATTTTCTTGTAGATTTACACATCCAAATATCATTTTCGGCTTGGTTTCTTCAAACATTTTTGTCGTTTTTCGAAAATCGTCAACTGAAATATAGCATTTTTTATAGTTCCAGTAGCAAATAGTAAAACAAAAAATTTAGGATTAGCGCTTTTTTTACTATTTGCACATCCTAGATTCTATTAGTTTCCATTCCCACTCCATAGAAGGACATAATATATGTAGTCGTCTTTTCAGGACAAGAAACTTAAAACATGGTTAAGATATCCATTTTTGCAAGGAATAAGGAATTTTGCAATTATGGGGCGGAGTCTAATTGCATTTTCCTTATACAAATTTTCCATTTTAAACATGCTTTAAGCTTCTTGTTGTGAAAAGAAGTCTATACCATGATAAAACAAACAGGCAAAATATAAGCCCGCCCACCCGCCCTGTCTCCATTGTGATCATTTTTATCTGCAAATACTTATTAAATGGAATATTTTGTAGTCTATTTGTGTTATCATTACGGGTATTTTTAAAAGTTTTTGTTATATCCTGTATTGAATTAATAAAAAAGGAATTGAAACTATTTGCTACATTTAAACAACCTGTTATATTTTCATTTTAAGAATTTTCTAATGTGTCTGGTAAATTATTTATTTTGCTATTAGGACGATGCGAATTTATTATTTTCCAAGCATCCTTACCTATATTCATCGATGTTTTTAGAATATTGTCATAATAATCTTTTTTTGTTTTTTTGACTATAATTTTATGTTGATTTTGAAGGATATTGTTGTGTTTTAGAACCTCAGGGTAAATTTTTGTGATTTTATGCATATCTTGTAATCTTCGGCTACTGGCAATAATTTCATTATTAAGCCAAGGTTTTGGGTGGATGTTTTTTTTTTATATTGATTTCTTTTTCTTGGTTTGGGAACGCCAAATCAAAATAGTAGTCAAATAGTTGAAAAAATTTTTGGAATTTTTTTGGTCCCGAATTGTTATAAACGTCACTCCATGATTCCGATTGTAACAGATTCTGAAATTTTTCTATATTTTTTTTTCAGAAATTTCTTTTATAAACTATGCATTTTTTATTGTCGTTTAATTTATTAATTAAACCATTAATTTGGAGCAACTGCCCGTAATGATCTGTGATATCGTTTTCGATGATATGAGTACTGGCTTTGTTGAAATTGTTCGATATGAAGATATTATCAATGGTCGTTTTTGACTTACCGCAGACTCTGGTC